CACCAGCAGAGGAGGGGGGGCACTGAGCTCTCTCCCCATGGCTCATCACAGCTTGGTCCTCTGTGGCCAGAAGAGGCAGTGCCCTAGTGCAGAGCTGGGGCTGTTCTGCACCGTGTCCTACAGCTGACAAAAATAAGTAAGCATTACCCAGCAGCAAACTACTCTATACTGAATGTATTTCCTTCATCACACTTCCTTTTTCATGAAGGAAGCTGGGCTGATTGCTCCCACATTTCCAGTAAGGGAATAAATACGGTGTCATCTCTTTTATCATTTATAGCTTTCTGCTCATGTGCACGTACAATTTTAATAGTGAGTTTCAAATAACAAAGAAGAAACACAAAAATTCCTTTTCATTTAGAAGAGCTGATTTTGTTTAATTCTTCAAGGATGTAAACTCTCTTTTGTTGGTGTTTTTTAACTTGAAGATCACACATCCTGCTAATCTGGAACAGATGTGAGAAGCTCTGTTTTGTGTAATGATGTTTTGGGTAACATTACAAAATAATAAAAAGTTATAAAAGGAGTCAAAAAATAAAACACATTGGGTGGGCTGTTTTCTTCTCCACTACAACTCAAATTTTTCACAGACTTTATGTAGTGACTACTTTAAAAATCTCATTTCCAAAATGCATATTTTATTGTTTTATAGATCTAAAGACAAAGCACCAATCCAATAATTACTTATCAGAAAGATCTCATCTTCACTATGTCATTCCACTGGAACTTTGCTAGTGATAGAAGCATCAAATGCCAAAACAAAGGGTTATCTTAAATTTTAAATGGCAAAATAAGAAGTCAGTGTGTCAGAAAAGCAGTGCAAATCTCCTGCTTGAAACTGATTTTCCCTAAATTTCGCAGTTGAAAAAAAGAAAATCAACAAGCAGGAGCAAACACTGAAGTTATTTCCCACCCACACTCTTCACTGAGACTTATGAAATTGTTCCCATAAAGACCCCATAAGAGGAGAGCCATATGGTTTCAGTTGCAGTTACTTTTTGTAAGGGTATGGTTGTTTTCAGTAATTACAGAAGAAAGAAATTGAGGACTGTCAAACAGACTGCTAAGGCTATACGTATATCAGCAGCACTAGAATCTTGGGTTCAGGTCTCTCCTTTGTTTCCCTTTTCAAAACTCAACAATAAAAGAGTGAGAAAAAGCAGAACTGAATCCAGTGCTAGAGTCCAGGCCTCAAAAGCTACACATGAGCATAGCAACATGCTGTTCTATGTGTCTACAACTCTGCACAATTTTCTGCCTCAAAGTTGGCTCAGGGTACATCTAGCAGAGGAATGCTTACGATATCCAAGCTCCTTTTTGTCATGAGCTATCCATCCTGAAGCAAGGAATTTTGTCCTTTGGAAGTAATAGATCAAGCATAGTCACAGGAGCCCAGGAAAAGACTCAGATATGTCGGAAGTGAGTACAGGTAGCAGAGTACCAAACTCACCAAAGTGCAAGCAGCTGGAACAATCTATTTCTCCTCTGCACTTTACCACACATGATCCAGCTCCCCTTCCCCTGTGTATCATTCACACATTGTTGTTAGATCAGAAAGGAGGAGAGCTGGCAGTCAGATACCAAGCAGAAATCTGGAGGCACCATAGAAATCAATTGCTAGAAAAGGACCAGCTCTGATAGTCCTTATAAGTCTAGTTTCTGTAGGGACTGAAATCTGAGTCAAACTACATCTCCTTAGAAGTACTGCAGCCTTTTGGTGCAAAGTCCTTAGATATGTTCAGAGAAGCAGCTTTGACAAAGCAGCATGCAAATCTTTTTATCAAACATGCTGAAAACTACACTGCACGTCAAGAATAAAAATCATCTGAACACTGACAGCAAATCCCCTATTTTAGAAGTAATCCTTCTCATTTGCTGCCACACCAAAAGAAGGGAGCAAGAGCAAAACACTGAGAAGAAAAAAAGTAGTTTTCTGTAACTTCCACCACCTGTGACAGGTTGTGATATACTCCAGTGACCTGAGACTCATAAAGCTTCTCAGTCTCCATGCTGTGCAGCATTGTAATTATTCAGACACAATCCTTTCAAAGCTGGGACAAGCAGAAAAGATCATAAGAGTCTTATTTTCATTAACATGAAAGGAAGAAACAAGTATAGCAAAGGTAAAAGAGCAAACATACACAATGCACACGTCAAAGTAGAGGCTTGGTGACTCATAGCTGCAGGACAAGCACATACACTGAGCTGCAGTAAAAAACCAGCATAAACTAACCGATAAGCATCATCTCATCTGACAGGGACAGAAGCTGATGGCTTACAAGTTGCTTTATCTTTTGCTGTGTAATTTCACCAGTTTTATAACAGCTTTGCTGCTTACCTTCCCAACAACGGCTTCTTATTTCAGGATATTAAAGTGTATGATAGCAATGTTTGTGGTCAGGAAATTAAAGGTAGACAATATCTGTTTTAATCATCAGGATACTTCTATTACATAGCTTATGAACTGTATTTTTTCTTCTTTTTTTTTTTCCTGCCTTTCTGAAGAATAAAACAGCCATTCAGGAAATGACCTTACCTGTCATCCAGCTGTACTCAACTTGAGCTTTTTAAGTCCTATATTATTTGTATTCATCAACATTTTAATTCTCACATTGCCACTTAGGAAACATTAGCAAAATACTTAGCAAAACAAGAAGTTTGAGAAGGACTAGAATACTCTGTCTTACATAGTCAGAAATTGCACAAATCCAGGAGATATAGGAATTTGAAATATATTAATTTTTGTAGTACAAGACACACCAAGTCAGATTCCCCAGACATCCAGCAGTTTCAGGGCTCTTTTTTACCTATGCAAACAATTCATAAGAAGAGCTAAACAGGAAAGTAGGACCTCATCCTCCAGTCCTTGCATGTGGCCGCCCCCTCCCCAGTTTGTGGCTTACAGCTCCTAATCATCACACACCACCTGTGGCTGTTGCTGGCATTTCACAGCTGTCACCATTTGGCAAATGAAGCTAAATTCTTCCTTTGACCACTAAAAAGCCACTGACACCTGGCTGTTATAATTACACCCTTTCAAAGCTCAAAGTGACACAGCATACATCCCCTCCATCAGTTTATGTCTAAGCATGAGTCTTAGCCAAGTAGGTTATGTGCCTACCAGTGCAGAGGCCAAGGCATTACCAATATCACAAGCAACATTACATAGGCCAGTGCATCTTCCCATGCTACTAGCAACCAGGCTTCAAAACCCAACTAGATATATAATTGAAAAAAAAAATAAACACCTTCTGTTTGAGAAGGGGTACGGGTAAGGTCCCAGTTCATCATGCACTGAGTAATTTGTCAGGTGCCCACTGTTTTCCTTTTTATAATGAGGGAGAACAAGGGTGCCCAGTCATTCCAATTAACTGTTCTTGCTGGCCAGCAGGTGACGTCCCACCACTACTGCTCCAGAACAGAAACAAGCTGCACAGATTCCTCCTGTTTTCCAGTACTACTGGGCTTGCTAGGCATAACACCGAGACGCAATGGAAAGCGCAGCAATAACAGCAGGGCAGCAAGGTGCTGGTCTGCAGCAAGTGAGGATACGCTCAAATGCAACAGCTGTAGTCACAGAAATAAAGAAAAGAAGCTGCTTACCCTTGGAAAGCCCCAAGTACACAGGAATCTCCATCAAGATACCTTCACCTCCTTTGCCAACCCTTAAGTGAAGGTTGGGAAGGGGTGGCTCCTGGCTCCAGCCCTTCCAGTCATTCAGCTGTACTGCATGCACCTGAGCTCCCCTAGGTTGGCCCTGCCTTCCCACAAGGTGCTCAATCATAGTTCAAGTTGTGACTTAGCATTTCTGCTACAATAGAAGCAGGTTAATTCAGTTCTATTTGAAACACAAAAGAATTGGAACTTTTCAGATATACAAGTAAGTGTAAGAAATGTCTGTATCAGCATACTGGAGTATCAATTAATAATCTGACTTCTTCATTAGGGTAAAATATAAGATTATTGGTCTCTAGCAGGTATGTTGCAAAATGCGGGGCTCAGAGTCTTCCTAATATCTGCAACTATTCATTTATAACAAATATCCAAGGGTGTTTTGGCAAAACAGACCACTTTGAATGACATGAGAAACAGTTTTATTGTTCAAAGACCTCCTATATGCTCTCAAGTCAATTAGGTGCCAAATCAGCCACTAAAGTGAAATGGGGAGGAAAAGCTGATCCCAAGTAGGCCAGTTAGTTGTATTTCCATCTTTTCAGAAAGGAGAGAAAAATAAATTACTTTGTATTCTTTACATGGACTAGTTATTCTGTTCCTCTCCTTTCACCTTATTTATTGTCCTTCCATGATAAAATGGATTAAAAGTCTTTCTTGAGCAGATACCTTTCCATAGAGAGAAAAGTAAATATGTAATAATATTTAGCAGATATTACAAAGAATTATCACTATCATCTGTTTTCAGCTGCAAAACACACAAGAGAAAAAAACACAATAATTTCTTATAAGCAGGATGATGGATTGTAAAAATAGCTGTCACTACTGATGTCAAAGTAGGATCAATGTAGCTGTAATAATAGAACACCATTACTTTGAGCTTTTATAAACAAGTTGGTGCAAGCACTACTGGAGTTACCACTGGTGTCAGCTCCTGTAAAGAAAACTGACATAAGAACAACAATACAAATATATCTAATGGTACATACACATTATCTGTGTTGCAGTGGCAGGTACCGACATTACAGCTTGTTGCGAATAAACACCAAACAGGAGCATGACAGGACAGTCAGCACATCATATTACTGGCACAATAAGGCCAAATGTGTTTCTTGAGGAAGAACAGATGTCATACAGTTGTCTCCATGTTGAGAAAAGGCCACAATTCTTAGATCAGAATTTCCACAGAGATTACCAGTATTCATAACTGGACTCCTTTAAGTGTTTCCCTGCTGATGGGACAAGTAATAAGAAATTCAAGAGAGATCTGTGAGGAGCAGAGTATTTCATTTAAAAAAAAAAAAAAAAAAAAAAAAAAAAGAGAATCCTTTCTGTATGCATGTAGTTTTATTTGTTGCTGTCAGAATCACTTGCCCACACAAAAAACACAATGTCAATTAGCTGATGTATCAGTCAGGATTACAAAAAAAGGAAGCAAATGCAAAATACACACACAGAATTTGAGAAGTCACTCAACATTTCAAAAACTTATCACGTAAGATTTTAAACATATTAATGCAGGCTGGCCTGATTCTTCATACTTAGGGTCATATAAGGATTTTATATGTGGTTTGTGAGGCCACCAAAGGGAAGAAAGTAACTATTACACTAGGACAATGCTGGCATACATACTAGAGGTATCAGATTTCCACCACCAAATCCTAACAAGAGTTTCTGTCCAATAAAGCAAGGTTCTGGAATTGCCTTCTAAAACAAGCATTTGGTGCAAAAAGCTTACCTATTATGATAGAATGAAAGTGATTTTTGAGAGTACTTGATCCACTACAGTCACCTGCTGGATAATAACAAGGTTCTTACTTTATTTATATTGCAAAATTACAACTGTCCAACAAGTTAGGCTTGTAAAAGTATTGTGAATGCATGCATTACAAATCACTGCAGTAAGTACAACGCAATAGAGAACCAAAGTACATAGTTTAGAACCAAGCAGTTTTAAGTTCATTGTAATACAGCTTTTGGTAGATTTTCATTTAATATAGGAATATCTTGGAATCTAGCATTGACTTTTGGTTCTGCTGAGAATACAATTACTATTACTACACAGTATTTAAAAACACAAGAAACAATATACAAAAAATTAGATAGCTACACCAAATCACTCTACATTAATACTGAAAAGGGCTCTGCTTACTGAACCTTATTAAAACAGAACTCTGCCTGTAATGCTCATAGAATGTGTGTTAACAGATACAGACGTTACATTTATTCAGACAATATTCAAAGCACAATGAATGAATACAAAATACAAATAACTTCAAACTGCTGCAAAAAATACTGAATTGTTGAATAGATGACCTCACACTCCTGTGTATTTTGCATTTTAGATTTCATAGTTTCTGAATTTCCTCAGAAGATCTGATGGGGCATCCCCTGACCAGCGGAAACGTAAGTGCCAGTAGTTTGCCTCTGAAAATCCTGGGGGGGGGGAACAAAGAGAGAGAAAGGCAAATAAATTATTACAAACCTATAATACTAAGTTGTTTGAAATAACAAGTTAATCTTCCCTCCAAAAGCAAGTCAAAAATTAATCACTTTCAAGTGTTCTTTACTAGCAGGGACCAATCTCTGCATTCTTGGCACCATTTGAACAAGAACCAAAGCAAACACCAAATTTCAATATATATATATATGTATCAGCTGGAAAGAGTCCAAGGGAGAACAGTAAGAATTATGAGAACTCTAAAAAGCAGAACTTAGAATGAAAGAGTGAACAAAAAAATCACTTGCTTAATCTGAAAAAGGAGATAGAAAAGGTGACAGGATTAGTCTCCAAGCATGTGATAGGCAGCAGCTTGAAGGGAAGGTGTACTGATTCTTTCTACACACAGGGGAGTTGAGGAGTTTTTCGGCCCTTACCTACATATTTTATTCCAGGCCCAGAACTTCATTTTTATGCTCTGTTAGTTCTGAATACTAAAACGTGATCTTCCTACATCAGGAAGCTGAAACCTGTTACTAGACTTACTGTTAAATTATTTCATTCAGGTTGAAATGTACATGTTGAGCTGTGGTCTGTAACTCCTCTGCACTAGCAGACAGAAATCAAATCTATCTCCATTTAAAATGAGCATCCAATATTAAAAATTTTCCTGGGTGGATCCAACGAAAGTTATCAGCATGCTAACATCAGGTATGAACACAGTTGTACATATGGGCTCTGAAAAATAAATACATTCTGATGACCACATTTATCAACACAAGTATGTGCCTACTGGATGCACTAAGTAGGCATTTCATGGGTTTGATTTTTTCACCTTCAAATCTATGAAGAACATAAAAACATCAAAAATTGTAAGAAGGAAGATGCCTTCAGAGAAAGCTTACAAGGTGACATTTTGCTTACTTTGAAATGTAATTACTTTACAAAAGTCTACAAAGCTGATTTAATTACCTAAATTAACAAGCACTATAATGTTATAAGTTATTTTTTAGTTACATTTCACCAACATCTGTTTGTAGAACTTTATTTTCTGCATTCTATAAACACTTAAGCTAACTTTCATTTCCTCCCAGTTTATTTTAATTCCCTGTGCAGTCAAACTGAGAAGAAACAACAGAAATGTTTAATAATATTTCTCTAATAATATATATATAACATTATGAAATTGCTAAAGTATGAAACAGAACAGAGGGCAGCCTTTGTGGTAAGTTAAATTTGGTTCAGATCTACTAACCTAAAAATAGATAGGAAATACTAACTGGCCAGATGATAGTTTTTGAAATGCATCACTTATTCTGGTGTGTGCACTATTTAAAAAAAAAATACAAAAGAAACCTTCAAGCCTAAATTTTTAATCTGCATTAGCTCATTAGATACAAACTATGCATAAGTACTGAATGCTGGGTTTAAAGAAAAAAAAAAAAAGAAAAAAAAAAAGCAATCTAAATGTTTTATGTAATATGATTTAAAGTTTTGCTGTTTGTTTCTTGTTTGGTTGGTTTGTTGTTTTTTTTTGTTTAATCATTGAAAATAATTTATTATTTTTACTCACTTCAATCTAGAAGGAAATGTGAGTTTTTCATTTTGATTTAAAAATGACTAACATTGGTTTCACTATCTAGCAGGCAAAGAAACTGGGGGCAGGGAGGGAGAAAGGCCTGAAAGCTTCAAAAACAATAAAAAAAAACAAATCCTAAAAGCTGTAACAAAATCCCAATCCAAATCCACATTAAAAAAAGCTACCAGATGTGTTATTCTGGAGAATTCCTCATGACTAGAAGCCTCAGTTTCAGGACAGTGCTGCCTTTGCAGTCTGCTGTAACTGCTGGTTTTACTTACTTGGGGAGTCTGGATTCTTTGAAGACTGTGGTTTTACATCAGGAATTGCAACATCTTGCTCTCTGTTCCCATCAGACAATCCATCTTCATTGTTTTCAGTTTTCTGGGTCCAAATCTCATTAGTTAAGTTGTTGCTATTGTTCAAGTCAGGAGCTTCCAGCATTTGATCCTTCTTATTTTGGACAGCCCAGTGCATTGACTACAGAAATGCAGAGAAAAAAAATAATGTACCAATTTTTATGCTTTTAAAAAAACTTGATTTTTTTTTCTTCCCTACATTGTAATAAATAGTCAAATACAGTACATACTAGAGAAGCTTGCAGGTGAACAGGAGAAGGAAACATGGTAACGCACTACAAACAGCATTTGAAAGGATAGCTTGTGCCAGGCAAAGACAAAGAACAAAACCTAGATGTACGCCACATGACTTGAGATGCTTAAGAGGGCTTGAGTGACTTCTATTTCCATTTTCAAAGCTGCCTTTGACTGCAGTGTCCCTTTTGAAAGCAAGACAATTTTGAAAGCTTTTGCTATTGAAGTCTGCATTATGACTCCTGTTTGGAACTGAGCTATGCTTGGTGAGATATTTCCATCAAATATTTAAACTCAGGCATGATGGTTCAGCTAAGGAGGTTCTCAAACATCAACAGTAAGTAGAATTGAGGCAGGCAGGACTGAAAAGGGAAACATTCATTCACCTGTCTATATTTAGTGCTAGTGGTGCAATGGTGATGAGGAGATAGTTGGACTAGACAATCTTATAGGTCATTTCCAACCTTGCGATTCTATGATTCTATGATATATATGACCATGTGGATTTGTAACAACCATGCAGAAAGTAATCAAACATTGTGGAATTAGAACCTAGTAGAAACACACCAACAAAATTAGCAGGGAAATCAATCCTCAGAACATCTATTTCTAAGCTGTAAGGTGTAGATAATAGACAGGAAAGTGGCAATCTGAAGAATTTACTGTAAAACTAACAGTCTAAAACCAGACTATGAATGGTCTTCTATAGCTCTCCAACGTTGTCTGAGTTTCCTCAGAAATCATTCTGCACCATCCCAAAAACCCACCACTGGAGAGCTGTGGCAGCTCACCCTCCCCCACTGGAGGATTTCTCCTGGGTCAACCCAACCTCCTCTCTGTGTGCTCAGACATAGACAACACCAACCGTTTTCACAGAGCTGCTCAAAGCCTCCCACTGCTGGAAAGGAATGGTGATTTTGCTTCTCCTCCAGTAATCATAGCGTGCTCGACTCTCTTCATTAATAAGAACCTCCTTAGCTTGCTGCAGCTTCTGGAAATTCTCCACTAGAAAACAACCCAAAAAGATGCTAAAGCCAATACTTGTTTTCAGTGAAATCAATTCAGGTCTACCAGCAGCACAAGGTTAATTGACAAGCAAAACCAACAAGCACATAGAGGAATCTAAATATAGTGGAAAATAATTAAATTGTGCATTTAATTAGTTAGCTTTTCCACATATGCCAAAACGTTATCTCGGATACCTGACTGCACAAATGAGAGCTCTCACTTTCCCCTACAGGATAATTTTTCATTAAGTGATTACTAAGGATGCAGTTTCATATTTGTATTTGTAGAAAAGTTATAAAGATTTAGATTTATCTAAGAACCACCTGTGTTACGGTGATCTATTACTATTCGTTACTATTCTATTATTATTCATATATTCGAGTTTACAAATTAGATTTCTTTTGAAATATAAAGCCCAATCAAAATTGGTAAGCTTAAATCAAACAACAGATGACATGTTGAGAAGGCAGTTTTGCAGTTTCCTTTTCTAGTGCCACAAGTTTTCAATAAAGTTATTTTAATTACTCTTTACTGAGCTCAGTTAAGCTGATGAAATATCAAACCATAAACTTTCATCAGCAATGTGAAAAGGCATTTAACAGAAACAGAACATTTGGGTCAATGCAGCACAAAATAGTTCTTGATAAAACCTTTTAACATTTGGCAGTTGGCCTCCCCTGAGTTACTAAGCTTCACTGACTTTAGAGGGAGCTGTGGGACTATGACCATGGAAGTTTCTTTTTACTGCATGAGCCAGAATTTGGTGCAAAGTCTCTTACACTGATTCCATTGGCACTTGTGTTAATCAGTAAATCAAATACTAGTGATGAGGTTATAGTTAACAGGTGGCAGATTGTCTCTCAAACTCCAGATCTCAAGAGGTTCCTTCTCAGAGAAAACCAAAGTGAGACATCCTACTATTTTGCCTTTCAACCTCCCCTTGCCAACTCACTGAAACAGGATGACACATCAAGAGGGAAAGGCAGTCTGGCTGAGAGCTCTGCTGGAGGCAGCGGGCGGGAGCCTCCCGTAACAGCTGCTGCATTCACAGCTCTGCTGTCCCAGGGGAGTGTTTATAGTTAAACAATTAGGAAGGATCCAAATGAAAAGCTTTGTGCATTAACAAAAATGAAAAGTATACTTAATTATTCTACAATTTTTAATTGGGACCATAATTATCATCAGAACAGTTGCAAGAATAGAAACAACTCAGACAAAGATGAGCACAGATTAGAGCTGTCTTTTTGGTTTTATATGGGTAAAATTGTCTTCAAATAACTCAGGTGCTGCTTCGACGTCACAGGTATAGCTTGGATATGATGAACTGTGTGCTTAATTGAGACATTAGCTGATGTTCTGCAAACAGATGGCTACTCACGTGGTGTTAGCTTCTCTTTATTTCCAATAATTAAATTACACTAAAAGAAACTGAAGTATGTTTAATATGATCCTGATTATCTTGTTCCTGGACGCAAATTAACTAGTTGACGTAAGTGTGACATTTGAATGCCACTGGGCTTGGAAGCAGTCCAACTTCATAGGTCTAGGAAGGCTACATGCCATAAACAATTTCTGGATTCCTACCATGGGAATAAATTATTAAAGAAAGAAATCCTAGAAATAAAAAAAAAAAAACTAATGACTTACTTTTACCGCCTATGAGTGTGCAAACGTTGGAACAGAATATTAAAGCCTGCTATTTAAAGACAATATGCTCAATACACATGACAATTAAAACATATTGGGCAAAATAATATTTAGTAAAATTTTAAGGTTGAATTTAATATCTTAGTTATTTTAGTTATCTTAGATAAAGATGATTTTTAAACAGAGAAAAATACATACCTGCTTTGGGGTTTCCTGGGTGTTTGTCAGGATGACATTCAAGGGCCCTAATCTTAAATTCTGCAAGAATTTGCTCAACCTAAAGAGGATATCAGATTTGAAGTGAGTAAACACACAGAAAATATGTTCAAATTTGCTCTTTGAAATGAGTTGGAGAACAACAAAGAATGTTGATTCTTTTCCTACTCATTTTACAAACTTTTAATACAGGCAAAATAGGCAACAACCACCATCTGTCAGTGACACTAATTTCATTATCCGCACACTCATCCTTGTTTTTGTTTCGGTGAAACTTGGTCATCCAATACAGTGAATTAGCTTTAAGAAAAACATGTAGAGATCACATGTGCATATTAAACTTAGCCAGAACCACATGGGTTATCAAGCTCACATACCACAAAGCTAGACAAAGAACAGATCACAGTCTTCCTGTCAAGTTAATTTTCTGGGCGAAGGCTGGTGTGGAATGGAATACATTTGTAATCAACATATGAATATTGACACATATTACTTTAAATTAACTACAAGTTCCTACATTTTATAATGTCATAAGGTATCATAACCTCTGGAAAAGCAAAGAGAGATTAAGAGCTAACAAAACACAGGAAACCACAGTAGCTGGGGTTAGGCTTTGATTTTCAAATCTTCAGATTTTCATAGTATCTTGTTTCTTCCTATAATTCAGAAGCCAACATTTCTTTATTCCATTCTATATTTCAAGCTTAGACAAGAATTCATCCTAAGATACCAGTTAGCTATTATTTTTTCTATGCTGGAGAAGTTGTTCACATAAATTCAGCATCCTTCAAACTCTGATGTCCATATAAAATTTAAATGAAATATTTTAAACCTAAGTTACAACATTTTTCTGTGAAACAAAACTACATGCCACTTAACTAGCTGGCCAAATTTTGTAGTAATACGCTGAGAAAAGTTTGTGTAATTTTTATACAAAAATACATTCAATTTACATTTAAAAAAAAAAATCAGTGATATATTTTACCAAAAAAAGTTATCTTATGCCTACTAGAATAACACAGTTCATGGATGAAGGATGTGGAATAAATATCACCTCAGCCTCTCCAATACGAAGAAGCTATGAGCCCAATTCTGCAAGAAACCAAGAATGAACACTTTTTTTTTTTCTTTTTTTTTTTTTAACATAGAGAAATGCTGTTGAAATACTTGATGCTATCTGTGTTTAAATTGATCCAGGTCAGATCAGCACAGGGCATAAAAATACTATGAGTGTGCAAGAGTAAATTCACTTCTGTACAGGCCTAAAGAAGGGTGCATAGAAGCCTGTACTGCTACAAATACTTGATGCATATAGAAATCAGTGTGATTGCAAAATACCTGCCCTGCTTCAAATGCTAGTAGTCACGTACAGCGTGCTGAGAGAAGGAATCACTGCACTCAGTCAACCTGTTACCTCAGTTCGCGCTCCCACATCCAAAACAATGCTGTAACATCTCCTGTTTGTCTCAATAAATACTACTTGACAGATTATTTCTTTAGGGCCCACTGGCAATTATTCCACCTTTTAAATTTCATTTTGAAGCAATCTGAAACATCACTGTCACACGTGCATGAACTGTCCATTAATTAGTAAGCCCGTAAGGTATTAATGTGAGCTAGGAGACGAGAAATAGCATTTGCAAAACAAGCCTAGATATGGACTTTAACACTGCCCTCTGCTGGGATGTCACATTAGAAGTTCCCTCAGGGAAAGCTTTAAATTACCCTCTGCAACAGACCTAAGGTGCTTACTAATTGGCTTTCAGTGACATAAATTTTACCAGCATTTGACCACTACGACAAACAAAAGCATCTGATTAAATTTACTAAGCAAAATATAGCTTTTATTTACCCTGAATTTACCATTCATTACAGCAGAGTAATCAAAACTCCCTTTTCAAAATCTGAACCTAATTCCAGCAGCTAGATTAAAAAATAATAGCATACCACTAAGTCAAACTATCCAAAAGCATTACATGGGCATATTTAGGAAGAAGAGCATTTAAGTACAAATCATACAACTGCTTACATACCTACAGTATGCATCTGCCAACAACAAAAAAAATTCTAAAGTCATTAAAATTATCATTAAAAATCATTAATATGACAAATGAAAAAGATGCACTTTTTGTTTTTCTTCCCAATAATGAATACAGTTTTCAAAAATAAAAAAGGGACAAGAAAGGAATATACTTGAGAAACGCAATAGCATCATCAGTCACTGACAACTCTGAACTTTCAGTTAGTTGCACATAGTTAGCTTCTTCATCTTTTAAAACTGCAAATGTATTACAAAATGTTATTTGCATGTTGGCAAATCTATGCACTTGGCTCACAATTTAAAACCATACCACATGTTGAACTAAATTATTTAATAAGCTCTAGTTTCACCTATATCTGTAATACAATATTGTATAAGACATTTTTAATGTGAGCTTCATTCTAAAATCTGAACATTGGCATATAGATCAGAAAAATTCCCTTTGCAAAGGGAATCCTGAAAAGAGAAAAGTGGCAAGAAAGAAGGTTTGCAGTACATTTCAAATAGTTCTACCTTTAGAGATTAATAATTTCAAATCCCCCCGATAGATAAACAAGGACATTCAAAATGTTATAAACCTGGAAGGGAGGTGGGAAAGGCTCTTACCGTAGATAGTTCATCACATCCGAGCAAGTTGTAGTAATCTTCCAACTCCTCCAGCCTGCAGTTCAAAATTGCATCCATCTGGGCTGGTCCAGCAGGCTTTTTCAAGCTGAGGCACAGCGGGTTTAAAATATAATATCAATACCCAGCTCACAAATAGGTTTAAATGTAGCCTGGGGAAACAGGCGTTTTCCACACAGGTCTGCAGCTCTCTCCAGTGCTTTTTAATACAGAGAGCTGACACACATGAATTGTCTTGAATTCTCTGCCTGCCATTGGTCCCTGCAGGATGCCAATCCGCTTGCACAAACCTGCCGATGGCAGTGCTCCCTGGGATTTGTAGTCACCCAAGTCATTTCTACATCAAACTCGGGGTCTCCTCCAAAATGAATTCTGGATTCTCAGTAAAATCCAGCTGTATTTGAGATACGGATTCTGCAGATAGCCAGTTAAAGTCAGTTTCACTGACTTTATGCTCTTATGCATCAGGGCCTATATATTCTAAAAGATATATTCTGCTTTATTTTTAAGTGATTGCTTCCAGAATAATGATGACTGGGCTGCACACTTCTGTGAATGAAGTCCCAGCTTTGCCAAATCTTCTGGTTCTGTCAGTTCCTTCAACAGAAAAGGTAAATCCTTGTCTGTGAAGGATAACTAGCTATCCTTTCACAACTATTATTCAAAAACAAACAGTTCATTGCTTTTGTACAGTTGCATGTCTGTCAAAATCAAGCCTATGAAAAGACAGCATAAAAAGATAATAGACTGTCTACTAGGAAAAGCAACAGAAGTTCCCAGTTATTTCAAATTGCACCTTAGAGGCTTGTATCATGCGCACACCTGCTTTGTAAAACTCATTTGACTTTGAAATGAAATACATTTTAATTTGAACTATAATTAGTGATCAAGGTCTAAGTCCAACAAAGCCTACATTCATGTTTAACTGTATTCTCCAATGATCTACTGATTTTAAAAGGTGATACCTAGGGGTAACAGTAACCACATGATGGAATCTTTCCTCTGGAGCCTAAGAAGCTGTATTTTTACTTTCCATGTTCAAGAGCTTTGTAATGCAAGATGTTTAAAGTCATAAAATACTGCTGATTCTTTAAACTAACACTAATATTGCCTTGAATATTTATATAATCTTAGATGCAGTAACCTAGGAGAGTCCACGCAAAATAGATACGTGGGGTATGATCGAAGCTATCACAGTGCTAAGCAGTGAAGGACCTAGTGGCCATTCAGAAGTATTCATAAAACATGGAATACATAACCCCCACATTTATAATTGCTATGGTTTACTCTATGCTACTATTACACATAACATTAATCTTCTGAAATTATCTATGTAATCATCTGCTACTTCAGGGCTGTATTGTCTGGAAGTTCTTGGTTTACTGTATGTTCAGATAGCCTGTTCAGATTATAAAATACATAAAAAGCACATGAAAGAAAGAAGCAGCAGTACCAAGCAGCAATCCATGAGCCTCACTGAAACTATTTAAACTAATTAGAAAACATCGGCATATTTCTCAGAGTATATAGAACAACTGAGTTTTTTCAACAAAGTGAAAGAATGAACAATTACAAAGTTCTCCCTCTTCTCCACTCCTGACTAACGAATCACAAAAGTATAATAAAGAAAGGAAAGTGTTCTAGCAAGAGATTGTGTAAATATTTAAATAGATAGTACTTTGGGGGAGGACAAAAAACAAACAGTTGTTCCACATCCCCAGCAGCACTCCTGACATATTGTTCTTGGCCAAGTATTTATTGTGTGTTTGCATAAGGTGAAAGGGAAGGATCTTTTTAACCCCTTTTCCCTGCAGTTTCAGTGGGCTTTTTTGTGCCACAAAGCGAACTGCAGATCCAAGAGCAGGATTCAACTGACAAAATCCTGAGCCTTGAAAGCTTTTTGTTCACAGGGAGTTTTCCCACCTATACTCTGTTCAGACGGAATGAACAAGGACTCCAATTCAAACCACAGCAGTGGGCATACTTGTTTTCCCTCCTCCCAGGAATTTCCAGTGCTTGGGATACAAACAAAAGGTTTGAGCGTGGAAGCTGCAAAATACTAATAGAGCAGAGTAGCATAGTCAATTGCTGCTCTTTACCAGAACTACTCATGGAGCATCATCAAAAAAGGAGAGGAACAGAAGCCATAGATAAAAAAAATATATATATAAAGATTACCTTCAGGAGATAAGTGTTGTTTGAAAGGGTATCACAGCACAGGAGATGGCACAGTGTATGTGTATTCACCTGTTTTGGTTAGCCTAGCCCAGAATGTACAAACAGTACAGAAAGTGAAGAAATCTCATACTTGTCCTCTGTACCCAGCCACTAACAAAATGTTTGTGTTCATTCCCAACACGTAATCAACAATGTTGCTTGCTTAGAGTCAGAAGCAAAATCAAATCCTGTCTCAGCGTAACAGAAGGCTTGCCATCCACTTGTTGGTCCAAAATGGCTATTTAAATATAACAAGGGAAATCTGGAAATCTGTATTTATTCCCATATAATCTATCAAATCTTCTAGTACCAGTTCTCAAACAACTTGAGTTGTTTTGCTTCTGAAGGACAGAGCACACAGAATTCAAGGCACAACATAACTTATTTAAGTTCTGCATGCTCCACTTTTGGATGGTCACACATACTCAGAGATGCAGGATCAGAAGAAGACCCAAGCACTGCCAAACTGACTTCCTAATTTAGGGGCAACTACTGCAACATCATCATTGCATGCATAAATGCTCACAAGGTTAGAGCCAGCTTAGGATCCTCGATTCATTTCCTCAACACTTTCATAGAAAGCTCTGTATCATCCATCTGTGTCAGTTATACGGTGTCTTCCTTAGAACACAGTCTTCCCATAAATAAGCATCCAAACACCATTACTAAAGTAACACCTCTCTTTTTATGCCTCAAAATCTGATTCTTGTCTGAACTTCAACACTGAAAAAGAACGCTTTAGTACAAATTCACAGACAATGATAGAAATGTTCTAATTCACATCTTGTTACTTCTTGTTTTGATACATGTGAAGCATGAGAAATGTTACGTACAACTTAACCAGAAGTATAGATTTAATACAGCTGATGCTATCAAGGTCTGCAAGGCAGAAATTCTACTTGACTAATATTGGTCTTGCCACCAAACTTAAGGATTTGGTTGTATTGAAGTTACTAAGGCTATTATGTAAGTAGTTGGTGATATTAAGCAGTAATATTAAACAAAAAAATACTGAAATCTATATCCGTGAAGTTTAGATCAATATTGCTGTGCCAGTAGGTAATAAAACCAAAGCACATGCAAAAAGAGACAGGCAACATTTTTCTTTTAAAAAACAGATTTTGTTATTGTTGTAAGCAAACTCTGACTCCCATCAGCTCAGAACAACTAAACAAATGAGAGGATGCTGTAAAGCCATTCAGCCACCACTTCGCACAGCTGCCAGAGGTTGTTTCAATTCATCGCTGTAGAAGAGAAAGTGTAACACAACTGTATTATGCGCTTCTGTGCCTATCTATACAGCAAGAAATACGAGCAAAAGAAACGTAAACATTCTTGAATACCTTCCACACTGATACTTCCACTGGAACTCTGCAAAGCACAAGAAACTGAGCAGCATGTATGTCCTCCAGGGGGCTGCTCTCAGTTTCTTTCATTTCACTTCTAAACAAAAACACTATGCAAAACCCTACCGATCGTGTTAGAACTGTACCCAGTGCGACATTTTGCCCTCTGAAAGTCCACGTTTCAAATAGTCTACAAATACAAGAAAATAACGTGTCTATCCACTACTGCATCTTGCAAGATGCATTAACGATACACACAAGTGCCAGTCACACCTACCCTCATAGTAAATACCCTCAGAATACCCAATAGAAAAGAAAGGCAAGACAAGAAAAAAACGAATTCACAGTAACATGAAGTTTAACATCTAACAGCAGGGGCCCAGGCCAACAAACAGCCCCGGCTAACTTGTGTGTGCAGCACCAGCGCTGATGGGAACCCGCGGCTGTGGGTAACGGTACGGCCAGGACAGCGGGGGGGTTCCGTCCGGGCGGAACCTCGGGCGGGAGATGGCAGCTTAAGGAAACCTGAGTGTGTTGCTCGGGCAGAAACGGCTCACAGTTCAGCGTCTACCATTAACGCGGCAGAAGACTCCTCACCAACTCAGCCACGAGCTTTGTGCGTCCCGTCAGGAACGAGCAACGTGAAAACGCCTGAGCTCGCGAGGCCAGCAAAGCGCATTTGCTACGCGCAGCCCGGGGCAGGGAGCAGCAACTGTTCGTCAGCGCTGCGTTTTACAGCCGCCTTAGAGAACGCTGCGGAGAAGCCCAGAGTTTTCCCACCCCTCCGCGGCACCGGCACCGCCATTTGCCAGCAACACCCCCGCCAGCGGAACGCGCTCCCGCGACGAACCGGGGCGGGCCTCCACCGCCGGAGAAGATGACGGCCGCCCGTCCCGGCTGAGCGGAACGAGGCACCGACTCCACCCCGGCCCCGCAGCGCTCCCCGTGGCCGCCCAGGCGGCGCGCGGCCACATGACCAGAACGCCAGGCTGCGCGAGGGCCGAGCCGGCGCCGGCCGCCACGTGACCAGAGCCGCGCTCCCCCTCCGCCTCCCCGCTCACGTGACCCCGTTTGTTGTTGTTGCGGCCTCCGCGGGGCGGGCGCCCGCGTGGGCGGCGGCGCGGTCACGTGCCGGGTTTAAATCGCTCCCTGGGGGTGGGGGAGGGGGCCGTGGCGGCGGCGCTGCTGCGCGCTGCGCCGGGCGGGAGGGAAGGAGGGAGGGGGGCGGTGGCGGTTGCTTCTCCAAGATGGCGGACGGGGAGGCTCCGCTCCTCCGGCCCCGCGACGGCGGCGGCCGCGGCGCCGCGGCCGAGAGCGCCGAGCCCGCGCCCAAGCGCCAGCGCCCGAACTCAGAAGACGGCGTGTGCGGCCGGGGCGCGCCGCTCGCCCGCCGCCCGGACCGGGGCGCGGAGCCGCCTCCCGCCGCCGCCGCGACGGAACCCCTGGGCGAGGCGGCGGCCGTCAGCGTCGATGGCGACGTCCGGGCGCGGGAGGAGGACGGCGCGACGACGGAGGGCCGGAGCGGCGCGGACAATAGGGCCGCGCAGCGGGGCCTGGCCCGGGCGGAGCCGCCTCCGCAGCCGCGGCAGCGGGGCCGGGGGGAGGGAGCGGAGGCGGCGCCCGGCGAAGACGCGGCGGAGGCGGCCATTGGCTGCGAGCGGGCGCAGCGTTCAAACGGGGCGGCCGGAGCGCCGGCCCCGCAGCCCGGTGAGGACCCGACCCCATCCCCCGTCCCGTCACGGGGCGGCCGCCCCTCCAGCCGCGCAGGGGGCGAGGGAGGCGCCGCGCTCGGCCGTCGGCCGCAGTGCCCCGGGCCTCTCCCGCTCCGATCGGGGCTCGTCACGGCGGCGGTATTCGTGCCGGGCCTCGGGGCGAGATCCCCTCGGCGCTCGCTGCTGAGATCGTCCGTGGCGGCGGCGGTGCGCTATTAGAAATGACAGCCGTAAGCCCCGTCTCCTGACAGCGGTTACTTTCTGAAAACTTTTCTGGAAGGGACAGGAGCGGTCGTGCGGACCGGTTCTTTAGGGAGCCTCGAGTTAGTCTTAGGCTTCAGCAGCTGAAGCGCAAAGTGCTGCACCGTCAGGGAGCTGGCTTTGCAGGTGGGTTTGCAGCACGGCTTGGGCGGTACCGGCGCTGAGCTCGGTCTGCTGTGTTGGGACCGACAGACTGGGAGGCTTTGGGGTTTTTAAGGTAGTGCTTTGGGAAGTCCTTTAAAGGAGTAAGGTACTGTGCTTTGCCTGGGAAGTGATCTCTATTATAACGCCTTTTGTGGAGGCTATTCCTCAGGTTGCTCGAATCCTCAGGCGTGTTTTGGTTTGTATTGGCTGTTTCTGGCACGAAGTCCTTTTATTCCTTTGAGGAATCAAGACAACTCCTTGGGGAGTGTTACAGTTTAAACTGCTACTTTAGGCTATCGCGTTTTATAAATCTATGATGATGTGACCTGTATGTGATGAGTCTTTAATGACACAGACTTTGACTCTTCACATAGCAGACACAGTGGTTGTTGTAGTAAAATGTAGTGTGCTGATGTGTGTTTCTCTTATTCATAAAGTTTTTCTGTGTAAGATGCTCACTGAGTTCATGTGTTACAAAACAGAAGTGTCATGCTTCAAATATGTAAAATCTTAATAAGACATAATGTCAGAAGGGCACCTGTGCTCTCCGGAGGCAGCAAGCGTAGAAAGCAAATGACTGGCCTCCTACTCTTTTCAATTTAATCAGAATCATTTCTGCAATTTACTTATCCAATCAATTAAACAAATTGGACAACGCAGCCTCTGAATAAAAATGTTTTTCTTTAAGAGTAAAGGTGAGGTGACCTAGCTTCAGTACTGCACAGGAGTTCATTCACTGGTGTTGGGAAGTGATGGCGGTGATTCTTCACTCCAGAGACTAAGACTTATTTTCATTTGTTTATAGATTTTCAACAAATTAATATATGTGCTGTGCTTATTAAGAAAAAGATAATTAAAAAAAAATATATATAGTAGCCCATATTGTAACAAACTGCTCAGAACAAAACACAGATTTTCACCTTAAACGTTACCTTGGTATTGCATGCTGTGAAACGAGTATCCCGTTCCTCTCCACAGTCCTTATTCTGGGCACGTGATGAAGTTAGATTGGGTTACTCTGGCTTAGGGCCACAAGCGGAGTGCTCAAAGCCAAACCCATCTGCAAGGTACAATGGTGATAAACTTAGTGAAGGTAGTTCAAGGTAGCACGTTTTTCTGTCATAAATGAAATACCCCTACGTGCGTGTGGTCAGCTACTGCAAGTCAGATGCAGCAGCACAGCAAAATTCTCTATTTCTGTCCAGCTGTGTGTTTGTGTGTGTGTTTAAATGCTGGGCTCTTACAACCCCATTGCAGATTGTTCTGTAAGTTGTGGGACATTGATTTTGCCCAATTTCACAGTAAGAGCTGAGTGAAGTGAGAACCATAGGAGAAAATAGGAAAAAATAATGGTAATCTAAAAACACTTCACACTTTTTGAAAGTACAAATAACCTCAGTAACCAACACTTGATACAGTGAAAACCTCACGTCAACGTCAGCCCACTGATACCAGTATTAACACAGAAATTCTACAGTAAATCAGAGGCCTGAAAATGTAATAATTTTAAATGTAATTTTAGCTAATAAGCTAAAAAAAATTAAAAAAAAACCAAAACCAACAACAACAAAGTGGTGAAACTGACTATTTGTATGTGATTGAAGTTGAATGCAATGAATTACAACTTTAGGTTTTGTGATGCATTTAAATATGCATTAACTGTGCTGCTTGGCTCAAGCTTTGTAACTTCCATTGTTGTGCTGTCTTGCAGATAACTTCCTTTTAAGCGATGAAATCATAGCCAATGGTTTCCACTCCTGTGATAGTGATGAAGATGACAGAGCTTCACATGCAAGTTCTAGTGACTGGACCCCAAGACCACGTATAGGTAGAACCCTGTGCAATTACTCTCAGATGCTGCTTGCCTCTTGCAAACACTTGCTTAGTTCTTCCTAGTCTTAAGTTTTTTTGAAAATTGTTAGAAGAAATATCAATTATTTATTTTTCAGTAATTATTTCCTGTATCCTGTATAATATTTAAGAATCTTTAAACTGTATTTCAAGAAAGGATAGTCAACAGATTTGTTTTTCTGTAGAAATCCTGCCATAATCCATATTAATATATATGTATTATGTACATATATATATAGTATATACATAAGCTCAATAATTAAATAAATGAAACTGGCATATTTCTTACCCATTTACATAGTATTACTCTTACTTTAAAGATGTTGAAGCTCACTGTTGTATGATTTTAGCCATATTAATCTGTAGGGCTCGCTGTCCCATGTCACACAACCATTTGGGTGTTAACTAGTCTGCAGATCAGTCTGTAGCATAGGTGTTGGGTAAAAAGCTTTCACCTCACTCAGAGCGATGTACGCTGCTGGAGTGACTGGTGACTTGAGTAGGATGGGCTTCCAGGGCCCAGCGTGGCTGGGACTTCAAGTCTTGTCTTTTGCATAAATGTGATAAACCACAGCCATCGCATTGCCAGCACTGACAAAGCATAGCAGCAAGAAAATACAGTGTGGCAGCACAGTGCTCCACTTAAAGCCTGACCCAGTCTTTACCAATCTCCTCATTACAGGTTCACTGTCAGTACCTTTTAGGTCAATGCATTTGGTGATGGTTGTCTTTCTATGCAATGTAGCTACTTTTAGTTTGGATCCTCTTAGTGTGGCTTCTTAAGATGTACATATTTTTCTTCTGCTGTTCCATTCTTGAGTGCTTCTGGAGAGATTGATGGCTATGATCATCTCTGAAGTCGTTAGTTTTAGATGACTAATAGAGCAATAAAAAAACCTCTGGATTGGTAGGCCCTATTTGTCTTTAGTATACATTATAATATGTATATGTATGTGTGTACCCTATGAAACATTAGAAAAACACCAGTTAAGCCATTCAGTGGAGAAACATTGTGAAGATCTTGTTGCTAAACGTGTATTTTTAATAAAATAAAATTTAATAAAAATAAAAAAATAAATAGTTGATATTTCTTCTAACAATTTTCAAAAAAAAACAAGACTAGGAAGAACTTGCTATGAACTGTGACTTCTACTCTGACTTTTCAAAAAATGCACTGTGGGTTAACATAAAATCATCATAAAACCCTCCCTATGCTATCATTTCCTAATGTAGACCAAGATATATGGGGTTTTTGATGCAAGGAATGAAACCGCTTCAATAAAATGAAGCAGCGAGCATTAATAGATGGAATGATGGTTATACTTGT